GGGGGAAAAAAAAAAAAAAAAAACAGTGCTTATATTTGTATAAACAACAGGAGAACTGAGAAGACTTTGTACCGGTATGAGAAATTTTTTAATTAAAAATAATTTTAATTAATTAAATTTTTAAAAAATAAATTTGAAAAATCAAATTTTTTAAACAATATATTTTTAGGTGCTGCAGGTACACGCGAGGAAGTCCTAATGCTGAAAGGAAACTTATCACCGTACTTAGACACTCATAATGAAGAAGAGTCGTCTTATGTAACTCTCAGCAATAGGCCATATGGTATTTAACATTTTTTAATTATATATATAACAGATGTAACTCATATTTAAAATATTTAAAAATTTTTCTATTTTCATTGTTATAGTATATGTAACTGAGTCTTCTAATACGGAACCTAAAAATAATCACATCCTCATAGATACATATTTTTTAACTCCTATTCTTTGTAAGCATTGTAAGTATTATTATAAAATATTCTATATATATACATATTTTTTTTTTTTTTCTTACAATTATACTGACCATCTTATTTATTTTTAGGTGAAGATTATGTTTGGGGCACTGGAAGAGTGGGCGTCATATGTAAAGGTGAGTTTTTTCAAGTTTTTTTGTTGATAAATATTAATGCAATATCAGAATTTTATTTTGCGATCGTTTATGTCAAATGTAAATCCATAAAAATTTAAAAATCAAATCAAACAGGAATATCTAGTTATTTTTTTGTTAATTTTAATAGTTCGAAAAAGTTATCAATCTCGCAATATTCAAAATTAGCAAATCATAAAATATACCGACCGTGTAAAATGACGATATAGTCGCCCTCTTCGAAGTAAAATTGTAGAGCACGACAATACGGTTCATCATCGTTTCCTCGATCACCGTCGAGGGCGATACCGTAGCATAGTAACACATGCAGTCACGGTGACTTCAAGTGGCGTGCTGTCGTGTCCCCCTTCACCTTACCTCGCGTTCGTTTCCAGCTCAGCCGGCAGTTTCTTTTCTGAAACTCCACAACCCTCTCCTGTCCCTCTTATTCCCCACCATCGACGTTTTGCCATCGTACGACCCAGGAACGTATCTACTCTGTAATGAACTTCGTTCCTATGTCGTTTAAATGTGTACAACTTCTTGAATATTCACTATTTATACATTGGATCGATATTATTTAATATCTATTAATAATTCTACTACCTTCGTTATTTATTCTTTTT